TCAACAAACAACTAGTTTTCTTGTGAAGCTGTGGGCATTTTATGATGAGAATTAGAGAAATTTGTAAGGAGATTCATCGTTGCCCAAAGAAACAGCGCTAATAAAGACTAATCAGCAATAAGGACTCAATGTGCAACCGATCAAGCCGTGCTTGACCTCAACATATGTCCTAACACTTCAGCAGAAGGGTGACACCATCACAGCAAATGATATTCTCTTACGCCATTCGAGTAGGAACTACTAATTTTATAAAAAGGGGATAAGAATTTCAACGTACAGGGAAGGATCCAAGCACCCAAAAAAGCTGTCAGACAAAAAGTTCATAAAGATGTAAAAATAGCAAATGTTTGGTGATAAAATTGAAATTCTATCGCATTTTCAGCCCATTTGTTACTGAGACGTTAAGATAATGCTTGTATAGTTCCCTTACAGGATCCTATGTATTGAAATTCATTTTGAAAAATCATAGAATCTCAAAGGTTCTCTAAACCTAATAGTTTCTCAGAAATTCCCAGTTCTACTTATCTGCTCTAAAACTTTAGAAAAGAGGAAAAAATCAGCGTAAATTGCAAGTCGAACAGCGTGTCAAAGATGACGAGGGCGGTGCGAGAAGCTATATGGTGATGCCAGTACTTTCGCTACATCGAGTTTAAGCTCCCTAGAGGCAAAGCGATTTTCAGCCGAAGGACAACTGCTTTGGAATCTCAACAGCAACAGTTATGCATTCAGAGTTTTGCACAAGAATGGAACCATATCGACTAAAAAAAGTGCAATTGTTTAAGGAAAATGAACTGTCAAATGTTTTTGCTTTTCGCAAAGTTATGAGAGACAACTATTTCCTTTTTTATTATTTCTCTCTCGGCATAAATCGCTTTACCGACAATAAAGGAGTTACAAGAATTTGACTTTTTAAGAGATACCCGCTTTCAATAGGCCCTAAATTCGACGTTGGTTGTAAGGTTTCTTGGTCCCATTAAGGCTATTCTATGCATACTTATTTTATAAAACCTATTTA